AAAAATCACCAATAGAGCTAAGAGACAACCTGCAATGTTGGAAAAAAATTTTGCCAGCTACTCCTCAGACAAAGGACTACTATCTAAAACATATAAAGAACTCAAAAAATCAGATCCCCCAAATACAAAGACCTGATTCAAAAAAAGGCATCTGAAATGAACAGACATTTCTCAAAGAAAGAAGAAGCAAAAAAAAACATTAAAAAAATGTTCAACATTACTGGTCATTCAAGAGACACAGATAAAAACAACACTGAGATTCCACCTCACCCCACAAAGAATGGCTGCTATTAAGAAATCAACCAGTAACAGGGTTGGGGCAGGGTTATGGGGAGAAAGGAACCCTTCTCCATTGTTGGTGGAAGTGCAGACTGCTGCAACCTGTGGAAATCAATATGGAGATGCCTCAAAGAACTAGGACTAGAGGTTCCATTTGACCCAGCTATCCCTCCACTGGGTATCTTTCCAAAAGAATTTTTAAAATCTTACTACAGCAATATATGTGCACCCATATTTATAGCAGCACAGTCTGTAATAGCTAAAACTTGAAAACAGCCCAATTGCCTATCAACTGGAGACTGGTTAATATGATGCGGTTTTTCTTTAAAATGGAGTACTACTCAGCCATAAAGAATGAGAAACTAGAAACATTTATAGCTAAATGGATGCACATTGAGGCTATACTCAAATGAAAAAAATGGACACATTTGAGTAAATACCAAGTAGTTTCTCTGGTGTGAAAACTGAAAGTGTAAATAGGGTTCAAATGGTATAATCGGAAGTGTGAAATAGGAAGAAAAGGGCTAAAGGGAAAGTGGGAAGGGGAGGGGAAAGGAAAAAAGGGAAAAGAAAAAATGTGAAAAAAGGAAAAAATGGAAACAAAGTATTTGCAAATAGGGAAGGTTGAAGAGGGTGAAGGGAGGGCAGGGGTATGGGGAAGAAACAAGAACTAAGATATATCATGTGATAAATGTAACTATATTGTTTGCTTTAAATGCACCAATAAACTTAATGGGAAAAACTTTATAATTTACTTTCCTTCACAGTGTCACTGATTTTCTAAATGCCTTCTAGCTCACTTTAAATAGTAACAGCTCTAAATTTGTTTATCCAGTAAACTTTATTTCCCATAGACATTATTCTATTATGTTTTATATCTAAAATTATATACATATGTATATATAAAAGACAACTGTAAATTCTATAAATACATATACATCAGACTACTTATACATAAATATTACAGGATTATATGCATATTACCAAACTATAATAGCTACAAGCAATAAAGGCATGCCACATGAATAAGCAGAAATGGAGTTGGTTTCATGAACCTGTGTGAGTACTGATAGTTTTATCTACTCCATGTCTCCGGAACACCCGACTCCGTGATTCTCCCACTGGGTTTGAAACATGGCCTCTTATTTCAAGAGCTGTATTCGTTCTACTTTCCTCCCCCTTGTGCCTGGTCCTTCTCTATCCTTGACCCTCATACTCCTACTCAATCTAGACTTCATTCCTAATAGTTTCTGCTCAAAGAAGGGATTTGTCCTGAAGAGAGTTTTACTTGGTTCCTTTTGAAAGTCTCCAGGTCCAAATTTTCTCAAGAAATATCCTAAGTCCATCATTTACTGTTCAATTTTGTTTTGTTTTGTTTTCGCCCCTCTCAGGCATGACTGCCGCTTTCCTGTTCACCACACACACACACCATATACCAGATTTTGCAGATGACAGAAATTACATTGCCTTCCCTGCTCTTCCTCCTCTTTGCTTACTGACACTATTTGTGAGGACACACCGTCATCTTTGCTTTACATAACTATATATGGGTTGTACGTTTGGGGCTGTGCCATCTACATAGCTCTGGTGTGCTTTTATGTGGAAATTCTAAAAGGTGAAAAACTATACCTCCATGATTACTTTTTATTTCTCCCTTAATTTTTAACAATAACAAAGTAAGGCTGCCTCAAATCACTAGCTCTTAAAAACAAAAGCCCAACTCCCCAATTCTAAAATAGAGTCAAAAATGAAAAGTCCTTCACAGGAGGAGCACACAGAAAATATCCACAATTATGAATTAGGAACGATCTAAACATGTCATCAGATTTAAATATTTATATTATCTGCAAGAAAATCTCTACTGACATCGTGCACCATTCTCTTGCAGGCAAAAATCAGCCTGAATAAACATCCTAAGGGCATGAAACACATTCTTCTCAAAAAGTAAATCCTGCCTGTGATTAAAAGATTCTGTAGTTAAGACATTTCTGGGACTGATTCCAGAAGCACATATATAATTTACAGTGTTCAACTACTTATTGTCAACAATCCTTCTATTCTCCCTACTTTTATCATAAATAGAAGAGAAACCAATTTGGGGAGTGGAGGACACATCCTATTTTTTACCAGTGAAAGTAAAATCCACTTACACCTGTGTAAGGTAACATTCGTCCTCAGGTTTACATACTGCAAACATGAACTAAGATCTAGTTTCAACTCTGTTATGTATAGAAAATTGAAAGTCTATCTTAGAAAAATGTGACTAGCTCAAGACTATTAGTTCTCTTTCCAATTTAATAATTCACTAAATTTTATAGGTTAAGATAAGAAAACAAGTGGGATGTATTCAGTCTTTCGGGGTTCAGGTGCTACAGTATGGATCTTAGAGGGATATCTGCATCTATTCAGCAAGACAAGCTAGTGCAGATGTCACCCAGAATTAGGCCCAAAAGTTTTCACCATAAGCAAAGTACTTAAGGACAGAGAGAATCACGGTAGTAGGAAAAAAGTAACCCATAAGGCAGATAGTTTGAGACAAATTTTTAAGGATAAGCAGGATTTTAGCAAGCAGAAAAACCACAGGAAGGACACACCAGTCAGTGCCAACAAAGGCACAAGGAGACGCAAGACAACATGGCTTGGTGGGAATCATCTATAAACGGGGAAGGAAATGAAAAATAGTGTACTTAAGCGGTAAGATCTTAAAAAGCAGCTCAGATTGGCTTAACAGACTTTAATTTTCTTCTTGATTCTACAATTTATCTCATTCCAAATGGAGATTTTCAGATAAATCAGAAAACTCTGCAAGCATGAAAATAAAAAGGGTTCAAATGCCTAGTTTACAACACAATCAGTTGCAAATAGATAGTCAAGCATCCCTGCTAGGAACTAAACAATTTAAATGGATGCCTAGTCATATTTCAGTGCTTAATGTAATTTACCTACCAAAGAATCAGGAACTCTAACTTTAGTACAGGAAATCTGTCTTTTTATCAAAGTCTGATAAAAGCGAACAACAGCTAGTACAGTGTTCAATATACTATGGAAAGTCAAAAACTACTTTAACTAAAAAATGCTCTCCTGGTTCTAGCCACCATAAAAATATTAGAAACCACAGAGAAAATACTAAATATTAAATTGATTAATATTTTTAAAATTACTTTTCACTAGAGGAAGTGGGAAGGGTAGGGGAAAGGAAATAAGTAAAAAAAATATAAGAAAATGGAAAAAAGGTTTTTGTAAATAGGGAAGGGAGGAGGGGGTGAAGGGAGGGCAGGGGTATGGGGAAAAAATGAGAACCAAGACCTGTCATGTAAAGGTACAGGATCCCAATGATGAATGTAACTGTCCTGTATACCTAAAATGTACCAATAGACTCAGTGAGAACCAAAAAATTACTTTTCACATCCAAACTTGTTGCAGTGAGTTGTACAAGGAGAATATTCTATAGAAATTATCAAATAAAATAAATCTAAGTAGGGCTGTAAAATGCACGTTTTTCTACAAGCTATTATACTATTAATGTTGTTTTGCATAAAGTACTAAAATATACACAGACGCACAACTGATTTCACAGAATAACCAAAGAGGTTCTGCAGGATAAAGAATAAAATCCAGGATGTTAAATGCCTAGGTCTCCACGGGAAAAGTCACGGCTAGTGGCGTCTGCCAGTCACGTTGTGCATTACTAGTACTTCCGCTCTGGTCGTTTCCCATTTCCTCCTGTGTACAATGAACATGACGACAATAACTGCTTGTTCTTTCATTGTGAAAATGAGATTACGAACTTCAAAAGGGTGCCATCCGGGAGACTATGACACTGAATGTTTTCCTCACTGACTCCTTACCCCCCGGGAACACTCCCATGTCTTCTCTTTCCTTTACTCTTGCACATTCTGACTGACCAGCAGGTCCAGCGTGTCCGCACCGTACATTCCAAAGACGGCCACATCTCATCGAGCCATTTCTTGCAGGTGGAGACAGAGACAGCTCCCACCCAGGCTTCAGCAAGCACCTGCCATCTCCTTCTGCTGCCACGTTTCCTAAGTCCCCGATTCACCAAAGAATAAAACAGATCTTTAACGTACCTACACCAAATGGTGCCGCACACCTGTTCCCTTCACACCAGGAAAAAACCTCCCCTCCTAACCACAGCCGGGAAGGCTATGTGAGGCGTGATCCAAGGAGACTGCATCTCTCGGCACTGGCCGCTTCCCTCCTGGGGTTACTGAGGCCCTCCGCGTGTGCACTCCTACTTTGGAACCTTGCATTTCCCAGCTCCTCTTTGTGGAAAGTTCAAGACCACACAGCACTGCATATTTTCCCACTTGGTCCCGAGCTGCTCAAATCTTACCACCTCAGAAAAGCCTTCCCAAAATACTCTGTAAAAGGGTAAGTCCTGGGCTCATCACTGTCTACCCTGACTCTGCTCTGCTCCTTAGCCCCTTTCTAGTCTCAAATTACGTCACTATTACTTGAGTGTTTTTCCACTACAATAAAAGAGGGGCAAGGACTTTGCCTCCTCTTGTTAAATGCGTCCCAGTTCTGGGCTCCAAGTAGAAGCTGAATTAAAATTTGCCATACTGACGAGTAAAACCATTTTTCATAGCCCTTTCCATTCAATAGTATGCTTTCCACAGAAAATAACAGAGTGCTCATGCACAAATCAATGCCACAAGTAGAACTTGACATGTGAGTGACCTCGAGAGACTTCATCCCACCTTGGAATTGGAAGTAGATTCCAAGAAACAAAGTCTGTTGCCAAATCCTTCTGCTGCCAGGCACAGTTTCTGTTGTTCTTTGTGGACAGTTGCAGTACACTGCAGGACCACCTCATCATCCTGCAGAGGGGAAGAAACAGAGAAGAAAAGGTGAGATTTAACAAAACTAGTCTAAAGCAAATCTAGAAGAACGTGATTTTAGTGCATTTAAAAAAGATCTGAACCAAATATAAGAACAACTGTCCAAAGGTGGGGGAGGGTGGTTTTTAAAGGTGGGAGCAGGACTGCAAAATCAATTCCTAAAGTACCTTTTATTGCAAAAAAAAAAAGTAACAACTCATTGAGGGAAAAGAGGGAAGCCATTCAAAAAAAAAAAAAAATCAATGGGTTTCTCATTGTTATTACTGATCCCCAGACAACCTGCGTGGACAACAAAAATACAGAATTTTCATATTTGCACTTTTACACATTGTTTGAATCATAAAAATTATCAAGAAATGTTCTGCTGTATTCCAAAGACATAAAGGACCATCAAGAAGGGAGCAGAAGCCGGGTGTGATGGAACACACCTGTAATCCCAGCACTCAGGAGGCTGAGGCAGGAGGATCGCGGTGAGCTTGAGATCAGCCTGGGCTACATAGTGAGTTCCAGGTCAGTCTCAACTACATAGTGAGACTCTGACTCAAAAAGGGGCGGGGGCAGAATCTAATAGCAGGCACATATGCTATTCCAAAACCAACACAGTATAGCAGGTCAGTAAATGAACTTCTCAGTTCAAACTGACTATAAAGTCAACTTAGTGCAACCACACACTGGTTATCTGATTGTATTGGAGACGACCTTGAACTGGTTAAAAAGAGAGACCATTTGTTAGTCTGATCCTCTAAAGTACAACAGTGGTTTTCATTTAATGAAGCAGGATTACAGGAAAAAACTGCACGTGGGAAAAGACAACAAACAGAACCTTAGTACAGGAAGAAAGACCAAAACCTGGATTCCCATCTGAGCTCTGCCATGATTACAGAATATGATCTTAGGCAAGATACTAAATCTCTAAAACGATGCAGAGAGATAAAGTAGCTACAGAATGACTGACACCCAAAGAACACTAAATATGCACTAAATAAAGGGTAGCAAAATATCCCACGTCGATAGGATCTAAGTGGGAAATTTCTAAAAAGTCTAACTATGTATATTTTTACATTTCAACACCAAAGGTACAAAAGGAAATACAACAAGAGTAGTTGAAGAACAAATACACTCATCAGTCTTTTTAATTAGGCTACCAGTGAAAAGGGACACACAAATCTATTTTGGAAGCCTGGCATCAAAGTAAGATGGTAAAGAAAAGGTAAGAGACGTGACAAGTCTTCAACAGCAGAAAAAAAACTGTTTTTCTGGTTAACCTAAAGAAAACAACATCTGAAAAGTACAGCTCTAATAGGCCTTTTAAACTTAGGTGATACTATGTATTTATCTTCTTGCCTATAAGGTAACAATAACACTAAATAACTAGTTTATATCACCAGCCACAGGTTCTACCCAATTTTATCAACCACCTTCTAACTTTCCCTCCAGGTCCTTGTCAATTGTCAATGAACATTTATTTTATTTGAAGCCACCCAAAGAAAAGATTCTGATTTTCATACAAGTACATATGAATACAAATTCACAGGTAACCCTGGTTATAATAAAAAATCATGAAGTACTTTTTTATCTGCAAGATCAAAGATATGTGGTGTTTTTTAAATATGTAGTAGTAGGAAAAATAACTGACAATTATGCTGATGTGCTCACACTGTACCAAGTCCCCAGAGTCTTGCTATCTTGTCTCATTTGCCCTATGGAACTAGCTCTAATACATAAATAATACTCTTCAGGGAAAAATACTTTATTGGATGCTGGAGGTTACCTAAATGCCATTTAGTAAATAATTACTTTGATGTATTACTAAAAGTCATCTTAGGAATAGTTCTCCTGAAGAAGTCCTGAAAGAAAAGAAAGCATACTCTATTTACCAAAAATATGGGGTTTGCCTGCCCTGACACTAATTTATTTAATCCTCACTGTACCCAGATGATATAACGACTATTCACACAAATGTGAATGAAGAAAATGAGGCACAAATTAACTTCTTCCTCACAGAGGGCTTATCATACATAATCCAGGAACTGTGTCATTAAACCTAATTTATCTGAATGTAAAAGTCGTCAGCTCCACACTTCTAAAGACTGAACTGATTTTTACCATATTTGCTATCTGCAGAAGTGCTGCTGAATCTTTAACATGTATCCTACTATTCCTGGATCTTGCTAAAACACACATTCTGATTCTCTAGGTCTGGAGTGAGACACGGGCTGCATTTCTAACAAATGCTCAAGGTCAAGAGCCATAGTCTAGAGGATCTAGGATGTAGAGATCCGAGGGGATATGAATAGTACACTATAGCAATTCAACAACTATCAATAACAGCTGTATATTAAAATCATAAATTAGAACTTGTTATGATTCGGCTATAAAATGCCTCCAAAAATATGTGTTCAAAGATGAGACCTCATAAGAAGACATAAGTCAAAAAAGCGGAGGAAGTGACCAGAGGAACAGGACCAGGGCAGGATCAGAGGAACAGGTAGGGTGGGATTTTGCCCCCAGCTCTCCATCTCTGTCTGCTTCTGGACCGCCATGACATGAGCAGGATTCCTCCGCCAGGCCTTTCTACCATGCTTGGAGTCAGTCAATTTACTTAATGAAATTTTGAGCCAAAATAAACCTCTCCTCCTTTAAGTTGCAGGTGTTCAGTATTTTTTCCAGGAATGGGAAAGCTAATACAGAAAGTTGGTACTGAAAGTGGGGTCATGGTTGTGATTACACTTGACCACGTAGTTCAGATGCCTTTAGGAGTTGTTTGCGGAAGGAGTTTGGAAAAGTTTGGAGAGATGGGCTAAAGAAGCTAGATTGCTATAAGAAGAGCTTCATAGGTAATTCTGATTGGAACTCAGAAAACCAGAATAGGGACAGGAACATAGAGAAGGTCTGGCTCAAGAAGTTTCAATTGGGAAAAAGGGCTCCATTGGCAGTGGGACTAGAGTCCGTGCATGTTATATTCTAGCAAAAGTTCTGTTTTGTCCATATCCCACAGTGGACTAACTAATCCAATGAAGGAAACTTCAAGGTAGCCCAAAGTCAAGGCTGTGACATGTACATTGCTGCCTGATTTTTGCCAGATCTACAGAGAAAATCTGTGACAAAAAGCAGATATAAAAAGTCTGCAGTTTCATCAGAAAAAAAGGATGCCTGCAAAGCTGCAGCTAAGAGAACACGGTTACTAAAAAGATTAGCTTTAAAAAGATCCCAGGTATCTTGCATTGGAACAATAGGAAAGATGGCTTGAAGGCAACTCAGGAACTGGCCAAACTCACTTACCCAGGTTCAAGGATTTTAAATAGCAAACAACTTTAAAAGACTACATTTTGAGGAGAGAACCCCCGGGAACCAGCTCACTCAGGGCTCCCTAGAAAAGTATTTCACATGGAAGCAGTCAGAGGTCACTGCAGCCATGATCCAAGAGAGACTACTGCTCAGACAGGCAGCAGACCTTTGCATCTTCCACATGGTGCTGATTTTTTCAGGCCCACAGAATGCAAGTTACAGGATGAAGGCAGCTTTCATCCAGATTTCTGAAGAAGACCTGCGAGGCTAGACCAAAATGTGACAGGGTCATACTCCCTTCCAGGAGTCCCTGAAAGGGTGATTCTTGAAGCTAGGCAAGGGAAGCTGAAGGTACAGTAGAGATCCAAGGAACTTGAAGATGCTAGGAATTTAGAATGCCTGCTGAGGAAAGCTACAGCCAGTAAGCACAGCCAGCCTGAGAGCCAGAGCCAGTCCTGTGGGCTGCATCCAGTAAGGCTACTGGGGCAGGTCTGCCCAAGACCACTGAAGTTCACATCTGGCCACAGTCTGTCTTCATTGCTGAAAATGAAGCTATAGGATTTACCGTTGACACGCAGGTTTTCAGTCTTGCTTAGTCTGATTCCTTACTAACACCCATTCCTCCCTTTTGGAATAGGAAAGTTTACTTTCTGTCATTGTTTAAGGGAGTATTTAACTTTCTTTTTTCCACAGGATCTCACAGATAAATTGATTCTCAGAAAAGACTTTGGACTTTGGACTTTTCAGCAATGATAAAATTGTTAAGACTGTCAACTCTTAGAGATGAAATAAATACATTTGCATGAGATGGATATGAGTCTTTGGGGGGCCAGGAGCAAAATATTATGTTTAGATCTAAAAATGTCCCACAAAACTCTTAGGTGTTTCAAAGCAGCACCTAATCAAGAGGCAGGTCACTGGAGGTATGACATGAATGGATGTGCTCTTGTCCCTGGCCACTTTTATTCTTGGCCCCCAAGACATGAGCAGGCTTCTTCCACCAGGCCTTTTACCACGATAATCCGTGGTAAAGCCAGCAGACCATGGACCAAACCCACTAAAACTGTGAGCCAAAATAACTCTTCTCCTCCTCTAAATTGTGAGTGTTGGATATTTCATCCCAGCAACAGAAAAGCTGAATAATATAGACTTCATGTGGAGATGCCCATCAATATGGGATGTCACTTATAGAAGAGGAATTAATAAATATTGATTTTATGTTATGAACTACTTACACAATGTTTCCTTTTAATCCTACACATTAATACCATGTGACAGAGTGGCTAGCACCATCACAACAGTATGTGTAGGTGAGTCTGTTACACCTCCAAGGAGACAGACTTTCAGTCATGATTCAACTTCAAATGATACAACCTATCCTGACATACTTTCCCTACTTTAAGTGTAAGGAGTTTTATTTTACATTCCAGTAAGTACAGGGTTCCCTTTTGACAGCAAGTAACATATACTGAACATCTGATGGACCAAACATTTTAAAAGACAAACCACCTGCCAGGTCCCTTTTGTTAGCCTGTCGCTCAACTCAAAGCTGACTTTCTCCAAAACCCCTGCAGTTGGAGAACATGCAAATACTGCATTGGTGAGATTTTCAAAAGTAATTTTAAGTTTTTCCATTTATTCTATCGTAATTAGGGTTGACACACATATGGTGTGTACTTCATATAATGTGTGCATGTGTATGCAAATTTGTGCACATACATGCATACAACACACACACACACACACACACACACACACACATTCTCTCTAGTTTCTATCTTAAAATTGAAGATTAACACTACCTAATGCCAATGAGATCCAGAGGGTTAACACTGCCTAGTTAAGAGAACAGCAAAAACTCAATTAAAATAAGTCACAAAGCCTCCTTCTGCTTAGTCTTGGCTACTCCATCCCTGAAGTACACACAGCCTTCTAATTCACATTTCTCATTCTCACATCGGGTACTATACGCCAATGGTGTATCTGAGGCTAAAATCATACTAGAACCATCATTTTTTCCACCTCAACCCACAAAAACTAACAGCGCCCTAAAGTATTCATCCTTTATTATACTTTTTTGAATTCCTGTCTTGCACAAACACATTTAGACTCAATTTACAAGAAATCAAATTACGTAGACAAAATGCTGCAAAATGGATTCAACGTGTTTTCTGTTATTCCATTTCCTTAAATTTCAAAACCTGTAAACCATCACTAGCACGATAATAATATATTAATACCTGCCTGTTCCTAAAAGTATTTGAACCTGTATCATATTTGCCATATTTATTGTAAAATGAACTTGACAAAGTGAATTTACTGATCCTCACTACACAAATTCTGGATACAACTGTAAAAGTATTTTTAAAATAAGAACTTTCAAAGACTTAGATAAATATCCTTGCTTAAATAAGGGTGGTATCAGCTTACAGTCACCA